TAAATGCTGTTTGGTGAGGCTGTCACCAACCTGCATTGGGGTGTTCGACCACTGCTTCCGGGGTCCAGAGTCCAGCCTTCACATAGCCCCTCTTCTCCAGAGTGAACAGAAAGCCCCCATCTCCAATGACAACCTCCCCACTGTCCAGGCGTTGCAAAATGCCCTGAAGCAGAGAAGGAAAAGCCACATTTTTCTTTGCTAAAAGCAGTTTATAGCTTGAGGGGAGGGAGGAGTGTGTTCCTAGAATTCAAGCTTTGCGGAAATCTTTAGGTTGAGCACACATTTGCATTTAACCCAGATTCTCGGTTGGTGTAACTGAAGGGCTGTGACTATTTTTTCCTTCCAATCAGAAGACTATGTAGTGGTTTCGCGCTGAGCTGCCAACCACAAGGTCAGCAGCTGGAAACTACCAGTGGGCTCCCTGGGGGAAGGATGAAGCTTTCTACTCCTGTGAAGATTTGCAAGCCTGGCAACTAATAAGGGCAGTTCTACCCTGCCCTATAGGTGCACTAAAAGTCTGCATTGGCTGATGGCAGTGGAAGTGATACACGAGGGGGGTGATTGATAATGCGCTCGAACATAAAATCACAACAATATCTCCAAGGTGAACAAGAGACATATGTAAACTATAGATGCATGAATGGATTTTTGGCTTGCACTTAATTCTAGCCCTAATCTAAAAACAATTGGTTCTAAGGACATGGCCCTGCTTGCTGCTCAACCTCATGAAGAGATCACTGAAGATATTGGTGCTATAACAAAGTGTGGTGAAGAAACTAGATGGTGCCCAACTAACAGAAAGAATAGCATCTGGGGTCTTAAGGTTTGTTTTCAAATAATCAGCCATCTAAGTCAGGTGTCAACAAAAACCCCATGGAAGAAGCATACCAGTCTGTGTGATCCAAGGATTGTAAATAATATAATCCAAATTCTAATGGTGAAAGAGTGTCAGAGCTTAAATTGTGAACACTTGGTTATGGACGACAGTGGAAACCCCAAATACCAAAAGTCAGCCTCCAGTGAATCATCTGCAATCCTAGTGGAGGGATGGGAATAGCCCTGTTATCAGACAGAGAGCATTGCAAAGTTAATTATGGCAGACATGGTTTGATCTACATGTAGTATCTCATCATTCAATCCCTTTAAACTCATTTTAATGCTGTTGCAGTTTTTAAAAAGGGAAGGGGAAATACCGGTGGATTGAGCCCCTGGGGAGTCCCCTCTGACCATGACCAGGGATGTGAATAGCTTTGTTAACATGCAGAGTGCCGTAGAAAGTGGTTTGCTGCAGATGCAGTTACGTTAAAATTTAGCACCCTCTCGGTTGATTTCCCATTTGTTCCATTTAAATTTATTCTAGTTTTAAATAAGTTCTGCTCTCTTTTCAGGTGAGGTTTGTGTCTGTTTTATTTTGTTATACTGTAAGCCTTGGACTGCTAACTGCAAGGTGGGCAATTTAATGTGCCAGCAGATCCGAGGGAGAAAGAGAAGGCTGTCGGCCCCTGTGAAGACTGATACAGTCTTGGAAACACTTTGTATGGTCTTGATGAGTCAGGCTTCACTCGATGATAATGGGGTTTGGGGCTTTATAACTTTATATTGCCCACGTCGTTTTCCTAATTCATGCTTTTTAGATGATAGGCTAATAACTTATTATGTAAATGAACTTTACATTATGAGCTCCCAGTGTGGAGCATCTTGATTAGACCTGTGCTTTTAGTTCAAAACCAGAGAAAGCATGCATTTCCATGCCTGTATCCCGCCCTCCACCTCCCTACTTCCCCACCCTGAATTGCTGGCTCAGGTGGGTGGCTTACTTTTTTTTCAGGGGGGTGGTCCTGAATTCAAATTCATTTATTTATTTGCTTGGTCATCCCATCCCTTACTCAGGAAAGAAAGGGGACCACAAGCCCACAGCCAGTGATGAGTGAGGTGGAGGGTCAGGCTTATGGGTAGGGTTGGGTGGGGCTGGGTTGGGGGCAGTTCTCAGAGCCGGCCAGTGCCATCCAAGGACTCTCTGGGCGGACAGGTTAGGCTGAGGCCCAGCCCAAAGTGCCAGGGAACTTTCGAGGAGGTCTGGAGCAGCGAGGTCCCGAAGAATGACAGATGCAGGATCGTTGGGGGAAGAAAATGTGAATGTGGCCTCTGAAGGCCCAAAGCTGGACTTCAAAATAAGTGACCACCAACAGGTTAAAAGAATACAACTCCTGGTGAAGGGATGTGAAAAGGTGAAGATGATAGTGTAAATCACCCTGCAGGGCGTGGTTTAGGAAGGTCTCCATTAACATTATCTGCTACCATAGCTACACCATCTCCACAAAGAGAGCCCTGGCGGTGTAGTGGTTATGCATTGGACTGCTAACTGCAAGGTCAGCAGTTCGAAGTTGCCTGAGGCTCCGTGGGAGAACGTTGAGGCTTCTGTGTTCCAGTTCAGTTCCAGTCTCAGAAAGCCACAGCGTCGTTCTACCCTTATAGGATCACCAGAAAGCGAACTTTTGACTCAGTGGCAGCGAGTTTTTGTTTTGTTTTTTATCTCATCTGCGCACTGAGGTGGCATGGTCCCCTGGGAGGGCAAGTATTTGGCTAAGGCTGCAGAGCGTGCCTAGGGGCTAAGGGGGGATTTGAACTAGAGTCGTTTGGCGCTCCC